CTGCTCTTTCAGACTCCTTTCTGCTGGAGTGATGTATAAATAATCCTATACTCTTCAGTTCTTTCCAAAGACTGTTTCCAAAAAAGATGTCATTGAACAGAAATATTGACTCAGGACATTATTGGTTGATATTTTTGTATTATTGCTCTGTGGAAAAACATTCTGCCTTTAATGTTTTTCTCTTATTACTTCCTTAAGGGACAGAATCTGTCTTTTGTTTCTCCAGTAATCTAACTGCAACGCATATCATCTCGGGTCCATTTATAAATTTTATAACCCAATTTACCAGGAGGTGTATTGACTCTCAACCCATTTGTCTCCTTTTCTTGCAGAAGACAAGTTTGGAAAAAAGTACTCACTGTAAAAGGTCAGCCTTTCTTACTAAGAAACATTCTTTTGCATTATTTAAAGTGTCTTATAGGTCAGACTTTATGTATATGATGCCTACAGCTATAAATCCAAAATATACTGTATTTCTCCAGTGACAGTATACTAAAAGTGTGGTATACTACATGGCGAGCAGAATACATTTAAACCAGCAAGCCTTTTTCACAGGACAGTTTAAAATAAACAGGAAAACAGGTTGCATAACTCAACATATTTCACAAAAAACTCTATTTCACCAATTTAAGCATGAGCACTGAGACCTGCACCAAGAGAAATCCAATTTACTGTAATGTCAAAACCTCCCCATTTGAAAGCCATTGTGAATTCACCTACTTTCAAATTGTATCTTATGCTGAAAAAAAAACTTAAACCAAGCACTTTGCATGAGATAACAACAGCACTGTCAATTCAGAAAAATCCTTCTTTGAATTGTAGATGGGTCTTTGTACATGTACTGCATCTCATGCACCCTCAATTAAATTTAAATCTTCTGGCACACAGCGGTAGGGAAATTAGTTTGATGAACTCAAACTTTTTTAAAACACCTCGTGTAGAGCATGGCTTTCTCTAAGTGTCTTTCTCTTAGTACGTCTTCGCCATTCCAGACATCAGGAATGGTCCTTTGCCTCACAAGTAGACAATTACTAATTTGTCCCAAAAGACCCATAATCATTTTCTAATGGAGTGACTTCAGTGGAAAAGCTGTAATAATTAAAGCAAAATGGGTTAGCCAGAAGCCTCACAACTTCTGAGAGGATTTTAAAGCTGCCCCCACTTTGCTAATTTACAGCAGTCTCAATGCACTCCTTGATTTAAACCTTTTCAGGCCATAGAACCTTCTTAATTTCACTCCATTAAACTATCCACATAAACAACACAGTTTACTGTGGAAGAATAGCCTGAGGTTTTGTGAGATGCACAGTGAAAAGCAAGGTCAGAATCCACAGACCTGAACTAATTATGAATGATTTTTAATAGCAACTCTAAAATAGGTCCTTTTTGTAAAGAATTGATTAAACTTGATAACCTGTTTCATGACACTTTTAGGATTTAAACACTGATAAAGTTATAGTCCTGAAGAAGAGTTCAATAAAGATTAAGTCAAATTTAATATCAGGAGTTGAACCTTTCTTCACATTTCATCTTAGGTACTCATTCTTGTTTAACAGACACTTTTTTCTGTTTAAAAGGTTGTACTAATTTAAAAAAGTAAAACATATTATTAGTAAACAATTGTCAGTTCTTTAGGCAATTTTAAAACAAAGACTATACATAACCTCTCTGAATACATTTAATAACATAGTAATACAGTATCTCAGCACTAAATGTGTAGCACATTAATGGCTAATAATAATTACACATTTTCTCCTATACAGAGGTCTTTTTAAACAGTATTTACAGCACCAAAAGGCTTCCAAATAGTACTGGAGTTGTGCACTCCTACCCTTAGACCGCTGTCTTATAATGTTAATGATATCTCCACCAATTGGGAAACAATAAAGTTGAATTCCCAGGCTGTGGCTAAAAATTATTCACCTATCTCCCCACGTCCCCCATTGCGGAGTCATTATCTCCCGTGACAAATATTATCACATATGCGGAGCACTTTTGGGAAAGTTATCTAATGAGACTGCCACATCACTCATCTTCTCCCTCGCTTTGTGGATTAATGGGGTGTCTTGCCAGCATTTTCTATTTCACTACTTACTTCCTTATCAACCATAAGTGATCTTCCAGCTTCAGCATTGCCTTTCTTTGACTCAGCAGACCCATCCAACAGGACTTTCTTCTCCAAAGGTTTGCTGTCCTTGATAAGAGCCTTGGTAAGGATCAACACACTAGAGAAGCTGGAGGACTACATCCCAGCACTTAGCGATCAGCTGCAGTCTTGAGGAGACGCTAATCTTCGACAGCACTGTGTACAAGCAGGGTATACAAGCTGCCCGTGGGGACAGGTGATTCACACTGATTGGATCTGCATTACTGCGGAGAGATTTGGGTCCCTTCCTCCATGATGCCCTCTGACACCTGCTTGGCCAGTGCTAGAGTTCCTCTTGCTGGTCTTCCTTACATTACAAGAGCAGTTTACTGTGATTGGGGTACCCCATATGGGGGTACAGGGGCTCCTGCAGGCTTGCTTTCTTATGATGGCCATCTGGAGGAACATGACTTTCTGGTAAATTGTTCCACTCTGCTAAGCTCTGACACTCAAAGGATCCATCACCCAAATGCAAAGTTGAGAAGCTAACCTGGCAAACTTCACAAGTATCTTGCCTGCGTATCAGCTGCACACTCTGATGAAAGCAGCAAGCCCTCTGCTAGAGACCCAGTACTCTGAATTGCAGCTCAACCCACCATTTCTCCATTTTTCTAAGATGAGCAGCAATGTCTTAGGCTGGGGCCTCAACTGTGCCCAAACCTCTAACACCGACCGATCCTAACTGCTCGATGTGCCAGTCACCCCGTTCACTCACTTGGTCTGACGGGGAGGATCTCTTGCAGCAACCTCTGAAGGTCAATGAGACCTGTCAGCAGGGCCCAGAGCTTACCCCTGAATAGAAACCTGCCACCTTATGTCCCTCCATTTCACTCATCCATCCATTTTCTAATGGCTTTATTCAGCACAGGGTCACAGAGGAGCAGCAGAGGAGGTCCCAGCAAGCAATGGGCACCAGGCAGGATACGCCCAGGATGGAACGCCAGTGCAGCCCAGGGAACCCACTCACACCAGGGCCGATTTTCCCAGAAGCCCATTAACCACCAGCATGCCTTTGGACAGTGGGAGGAAAACAGAACACCCAGAGTAAATACACACGAACACAGGGAGAACATACACACACCATGCAGACACCACCGAAGTAACTGAACCCCCGCGCTGCAACGATCAAATTGTGCCACCACGCTGCCCTCATTTAATATTTACAGTATTATCATTTGGTTGGGTAAGCTTCCCAAATATTTCAGTCAGACCTGTGCAGAATTAACTTACTAAAGATATCAGAAATACAAACTTCAGTACTTCAGTAATCTCTGCCTTGGCACAGCTCCCAAGAGATGAATAAAAAATGATTTCCAGCAATTAAACTAGCAATAGACAATATTTTTCATCTTCGTGTTTTAAGTATGGCATGATAAAATAAAGCTTTACCTCTTCTGTTATATATTCATAGCTCTCCTGTAAATTGCTAATGAGGGTATTTGACCTGAATTCTAGTGTTGATCAAAAGCAGTTTGTTCATTTTTCTTAAATAAATTGTGGTTTAATAAACATACATAATGAAGATGATTTTTGTTTCTTTCGTGTATCACTGACAAGTTTTAGGTTCATCCTTTTTGATCTTTGCCTTCGTGTTCTTCTCTGAACTGAAATTTACTAATCAAAGTCTTGGTTCTGTTACGCAAGTCAAACCTATCAAAGATGTTCAGATGTTCAAATTTCCAGTCTTACCTGAGGAAAATAAAATATTTGAAAAACATCTGCATGGTGTTCAGCACACCATCCTGTTTAATCAGACAGGACTGTGCTGTAATTAATTTATAATATTAATACAATAGAGATTACAGCTTGAATACAGAGATTAAACTACTGAAGAAAACAATGTGTAATTTCCTGCTAGTTCAATATACCTTGTAGCTCTTTAATCACATTCATATGTAATATGGATATTCTTCTTCATAAGAGTACTGATTTTGGGAGAAAGGGCAGTCAAAAGATTAAAGACTAAAGATCAGATCAAGTTCAACAAATCAGTTCAAAGGTCAAGAGAAATCACGGTGACCTTCGCAAGCATTATTCAACACATACAGTGGCCTGACACTCATTCACTCCTCCTTTAGCCCACTCAACCCACAGACCACAAACGTGCCTTGATGAGCACAAGAGTCCAACATGTTCAGCTAGTGACATGGAGACCAGACCTGATCCCTCAGAACGCCACCCTGGGTGCAGTGCCAGTCCATGGGGTACACAGACACATGTCTCCGAAGCACAAAAGGATAATTCAGAGACACCAGATAATCTAGATAACGTGTCTTTGGGAGGTGAGACGAATTTGGAGCAGTCAACCCTGGCCAACAACCCAGGACTGATGACTTGTGAGACAACGATAACCACGACACTTCTGGTCCCCACTTATACTCTCAAAGATGTGGTATAATTTATGTATAAATGCTCTCAGTGGGGAGGAGAACACAGTAATGAAGCCAGTTCATAGATGGTGATTGTTAGGAAGCCATGATTGGTAAAGGCAAGGAGTAACTTTGGCCAGGACACCGGGGTAACACCCCTTCATCCAACAAGAACTGAATGGAATACCTTACTCATTAATAGCATCTTATAATTTGAAGTCACAACGTGACTTTATGAAGACAATTTGTGTTTATAGCGTTATTTCTCGGCTAATTAGCAGTATTTATATTTCTTTCTCGAAACTCTCTGTATGTATTGCTCCGTATTTAAGCACTTAATAAACATTAAGATGTAGACATAATAAAGTATTATAAAGTACTGATAAAAGCACACGGTACTTTCACTATTTTCGTTACATTCTGTACCATGAGAACTCACCAACGCAAACAACCTGTCCAAGCGCAAACTGGAAACGTGCGCCATGGCCACAGCCACGTGAGAAATCCCCGCGGTCGATTTCACACCACTCTTTTGTGGTGAAAGCTCTTTTAAATTACTTTTGAAAACACTTAAATCTTTTGACAAAGAAACCCCTAAATCGAAAATAAAACCTAATTCTACATTTACGTTTTCCCAATAAGTAAATACGCACAAGGCAAGTTGGAAAGGCAGACGCTTATTGTAGGACGGTACTTTGCATTGCGTTTAAGGGGTCTTTAACCATACTGTAGATTTAAAGCTCGTTGTGTGACCAAACCTTGTCTTCACTGCAGTAGGCCTACAGCTTTAAAAGTCCAAAGTTTCCTCGTTGGACGTTAGAGCCCTCCTACTCGCTTTGCATTGTGAGTCCAGGCGCCTCCCTCGGTAAGCGTCATCCAATTCAGATCTGCTCTCCGCGGCTGTCAGTTATACGGTAGCATTTCGGGTCCAGACGCCGCTGCAGAAAGGCAGTTTCTTCCAGTTTGGGAATTTCGGGAACGGCACAGAAATCGTGGTGTTGCTGCTGGAGGAAGAGACGCCAAGTACGCATCGCTCCCCTGCCGAAGCGAACGGAGGCAACTTTCCGTGCAGCCGCCAGCTCTGCGTAAAAAAACCAACATTCCAAGATTCTCCACCAGCGCGGGAGGAGGCGAGCTCTGGATCTGTGGAAGTTCAGGCAGCTGAGTGGCTACAGTTTGTCAAGAACAAAGTAAAAAAAACCCAACAAAACCAACTCCATTAAATAATTACAAAAGCAGCTGGAGAAATCGCTTGGTCTTTTCATTTTGTTTTGGGGGAAAAAATAAATAAAAGGGGGAGACGTACTCTGTTCTAGGAACTTCCAGATTCGAAGCATCAAATCTCCCCCTCCTTACCCCCTCTTCTTTCTCCCAAAAACGAGGGAGAAAGAGAGGCACCGAACTGCATCACCCTACGGAGCATTCGGATACAGGCTTAAAGCGGAATTTTTATCTTTGGGAAATCATGGATTGTTAAAACCTGTGTTGCGTTTATTTTATTTTTTTTTGTATCGTATTGCAATATTGTGTTTTTTTTTCCCCGATTTGTTCTTATCTGGGGGTTCCGTCTCCGAGCTGCACAGAAAGTACTATACCCAGTGTGTGCGTTTATAGGTTGGTGAACGGCAAGAGCTCTGCGCTGTAGCTCTCGGACTGGAAGGACGCACGCACGCCTTACGGTCTCTCCTGTAACGAAGTGCAGATCGCGGGATCGTTTTGTCTACGGGTCGTGGAATAACGTGACAAATTAGATCGTGACCCCGACAGACGCCACATCCCCTCCCTCCCCCGTCTTGGCGCATTCCCAGTTTAAATCCCTCATATTTTTTGATGCTTGTGTTTAACTCCCGGTTAGCAGACTGGAATTTTGCCTGCATCTCCATCGCCAAGTTGCATGCTTACCTGAGCCCAGCTAGCTCGAATATACTTCAGCATATTTAAAGGCTACAAAAGAACAACCCAGATATTTGGGAAACGGTGACATGATCATGATGACGCCGACGAGCTTTTGGATATTCCTAGTGGCTGTTAACGTGCCAGGTAAGAAAATTTCAAGTCACTTTCGCTCATATTGCTAAATATTAGTGTAAAAAAAAGGCTGGTGACTCACTGCTGCGTTATTTTGGATACATTTCAGCTCAGTCGTTACATTTTACATTTTAATCAAGTACAATCATGCACGCACACCAAAATCTCTCCTACATAACCGAGTTTAAACATTGTTGCGCACATGTTTGTAAAACTTGGGGTTTGAGCTGAAACTTAGTTGCAACACAGTGTTTTCAACGAAATAGAGAATCGGGCTACTGTAAGGTTTATCTTCTATAATGGCGTTTTGTCAATGCTGGATGTCCAGCCAAATATGTTTGCAAACTAGTTCGAATGATCTAATGTAGAATATGTGAGGTTACAGTAAACGCAGGCAGATGGCGATAGAAATGATGAAAAAGCGATATCATGTAGCCCATTGTGTTGGTGGGGGGATTGCAGAAATACACTTACAATACTTGATTTCCCACAGGTGAGGCAAAGGCAAAGTTAATTTCAAATACACGTACTGTACACGGGTAGTTACAGAAAACTAACCAAAGCTCTCGCACAGCTGCTAACTGCGTCCAGAGCAGGTTTTTTTTTTAGTAATTTTTCAGGCATTCTTGCAAGTACGGGGTTAGTTAATTCCTAAAAACAGCACCGGGACTTAAAGTCCTCTGTCGATGTGTGGACGTCACAGTTCAACGGGACTGTACTGCATTCAAGAGAATATACCAACCTTTCCACCTTGCTGCCTCAGAGACAATATCACAACTACACGAATAAATGTGTCAATAACTTTCTTGTTGACCAACAATATTATAAAATATCAATTGACATTGTGAGACGGTGATGCATTTTTTACGTCTGAGGGGCGGTCACAAGCATGAACATCTGTCCCCGGAGAAGTGCTTTGAGGGCTGACCACCGGCATTTAATGAAGTCCACGTTACGTTGTTAAAAGCTCAAGACGAAGCTTCTAAATTACTTTTGAAAGCGACACCTTACAAATAAACATAAACCTTTCAAATCCTCGTCTAAGTGCGTGTCGTTTTACGTTGCTACATAAATTAACTTGACTTTAGAAAAGGAGACTAAGTGCATTCAAGAAGAATTACATTTAAGTTTACTAGAAAAGCTTCTCTTTAATGCATTCTATAGCCTGTACAGCAGAATTGAAATCCATGCTCAGCGACTGATGTATTTCGCTAGGAGGTAATGAAATATTAAAAGAAGTTCATGTTTTGCACGGAATGAAAAATATTTTTTTGTGTGTGAAAATGTTGTTCTGAGGGTGCAACTAGTGTATACCAACACCTCGAATCTGGAACATGGGCAGTAAATCCACATTTAGTGTCTCCTGGTCTAAAATAATGGCGTTTCCAGATCAAGCATTCTGTTAAAGCAATATCTTACCCTCCGTAGCTACCTTAGTAAGTTAAGTTACCTTATTTTCTTCTTTATGTGTGCAAAAAAAGTGAATCGGATCCGCGTCGAACCGACACTGGTTTACTCAAGGAGGTATTTTACAAAGGGTGTGAATTTACAGACCAACCGTGTTTACGACATATTGTGAATGCGAAACGTTTCCCAGGGCTGGTGCGGTTCCAAAGCATCCAGACTGGAAGAAATGATCAAACATTAGCTGGTCGGTTAAATTTGTTTTATTAGTTGTCGATGCAAATTTCCTAGATATTAAAAGAGCGAATCAAGCGATGCCCACAGTTGCTTATGAAACCAGATTCGCTACATGTCCCAGTTTTTTTTATTATTATTGTTGTTGTTGTTGTTAAAGCCCGTTATCTGCTGTAACGGTAAGCATCGAACTTTGCTTTGCAGGAATTAGCGGTGTTCACGCGGTGCAATGCATACACTTCAGTTGCGAAGTCCGTTCAGTCGCTTTCAATCCAAACGTGATTCGTGAACCCATGCACTTTTTCTTCCACACTGCTTGAATTTTGGAGGAAGGAACTCTGTATGAGCGCAGAAAAGTTAATTTAGCTAAAAATAAAGCAAATGATTCAGTGCCAGTCGACATTGTGCAGGAGATATGCATTTCAGTGCCGGTGAGGAGCAAGTGCAATATGAAAGTCCCAGTGCTGGGGTTAATCCAAGTCTGTTTTTAAGAGGAACAAATTATGCAGGAGAACACAGGCACAGCTCGCTGCCAGTTCAGACGGGATTGGCAATGGTACAATCTCGATTATAGGTTGAATAAGATGCTGTTTGAATAAGAAGAACGTTACAAGTGTGTGAACAATTAAAAGGACATTCCACTGGTGTGAGAATGGGTGACATTCGCATAAATTATATTGGTATAAATCTCAGGTTTGCTGTCAAAAATATTGACGATCTGTTCTTTGTATCAGGTGATGCAACATACAGTAGAATGGATTTCATATTCCTCTGTCCTGAGTCTGATCTCTATTGTCTGTTTCTGTCACCTTCAATCAAAACACAATCTTCTGGCATTTTAAATGGAAAAAGTAATTATGAATGTCCTTAGTTGTCCATTCTTTGTGCTAGCCCCTGACAACAGCTTGTCAGAAATGATGGGAGCATTTTAAAACTGTAATGTCGTACCACAGAGATATTTGTCCTCCTATTTTTTGTTTCCAACATATTTTGTGGCTTAAGCAAGACTTATCTTCTATACATTTTTGGTAATTTCAAGAATCAGAATAACAGTGTGATGTTCCTATTACACAACCTGTTCACATATATATATTCCCAATATTGTAATGGCTACAAATGAAAAAGTATTTAGTTATGTCCTTTTATCAGTTTTATTTTTCAGATCTTAAAATAAATTATTAGAATTATCTCCTTTCATTTCCAGTCTTTATGTTCTGAACTATGTTAACTATGCGAACCTTATTGGAACTGTTCTTGTTTAATTCAAAATGATCTTGAGAGCAACATATTTTTGTGCAATGTTGACAGATTGAGTGTATAATGTAAACTGAGTTAAAAAATTCAACACAGATGTTTCCAGAGTGTATATTTACCATCAGGGTTTAAAAGCAGTATTTCATTTCCGACACTTGAAAGAGCTGTTGATGAAACTGCAGAGATCGAAATGGAATATGTACTGTAACACGGTCTTTGTGCCTGAAAAGATAGCTGTTTTGCTGCAGGGTTTTAATAAGGCTTGTCTCCTATGTGGGCATCATTCTGTTTAATCCAGTCCCCTAGGTACAGAGAAAACACGTGCTTTTCCGCAAATCGCTTTTTCGCAATGGTATTACCTTGTGTGAAACAAGAGACAGAACATGGAAATTGATTCTTGGCATAAAAAATCCTGTAATTTCTTAAGCGATGCACTGCATCACTTTAAACCAATTTCGACAGCGTTCTAACAATTTTAACTGCTTCCTGACTTTTTTTCCATTTTTTCATGATCCGCCGAGGCAGTGCCCGGGTATCATATCTTATAATCTAAAGTTGTTTTGTAATGCATGAAGTCAACATCTTCAGTCTGATGCAACAAGGGAAGACCAGTGACCTTCACTCCTGCCATTCTCCTCTTCAGCTCTTTCCGGGTGTAACGGCTGGCTGGTCTCATTATCTTTAATGAAGGGAGGGGGGTGCCGTCTGATGGTCAACTAAGTGAAGTGTTAATTGTGTCACTCTAATGGATTTATTTAAGATATCTTAAATATGCTCACATGTTGGTATTCAGTATTAATTAAAATTATTAAAAACGGAGCTTAAGTACATTAATGTAATAATTGATTATGTTTACTTTCTTCCAGACACTTTCTGTCCGTGAATGCACATCCTACTTCTTTTCCAAACGAAAGGCTAGGTTTGGAAACATCTGGTTTCGGGGGGTGGTGCATCACGCATTTGAGTATTAAAAGGAGAATAAATGGGCAATGTAACCCCAGGAGCCACGATCTGCAAAGCAATGCATTGGTGCACTTTCAGCTTGAGCTTTGATGGACGGATTTATAATTTTCCAAATTGTTTTCTAAAGATGTTCAGCTTTGCAGATCCTGTAATGCTTCCGAGCAGGAGATCAGAGTTTGCTATTTTATTAATGCCATGGAAATCCACTCATACATGTTCCTGTGCTCTCCCTTGTCCACCACGTTCCAGGAAAGGGGAGGATTTTACTTTCTTCAGGGATACATCTCCTTTAAACCCCCCAGTTATTCGCTAGAAATAGTCAACTTTGTGTAATTCTGATCTATTTTCGTGTTCCCAATTCCGAGAGAAATATTACAGCTGTGTTCTGGCGAGGTATGGGTTCACTGGAGGACCTGGATGGTACGATATCATCAGTGAATCAGTGCATCAGTGGGCAATGAATTTGAAGGAGCAGCGTTGTCTGCCTCCCTTAGAAATAAAAAAAATCCTTAAGAGACGAGCAGTCAAGTGTCTTAACTTTAATAGAACTTTAACTCTCGTCACAAATTGAATCCCCTCTATGTCCAGGGACATTGTATGTTTGGAATTGCATGAGAAGTTTTATCTTAATAGGTTAAGAAGATGCAGTTGGAAATACCTTTTCTGTTATTACAATATCCTTAAGTAGTTTTTATCATCTTATAGATTCCTGCCGAGAGCAATACAGTCTATTATCTCTCATTGGTTCGGCCGCATCTGCGTAGATGAACTTCCGCTGTGAAAGCATGTAATTGCCGTGCATGTGCGCTAAGTCAACGTGAGCACGTGCCACCGTGTGATCGAGTTTCACTGCGTTCTTGGGTCTTTGTAGTTTCTCAGAACAGGCTGATGGTGCATTGTTCAGGCTGTGTGAGTCGGGCAACCATTCATAGTGCAGTAGTCAGTTCATGGCAATTGTACATGATACAGAGAGTGAGCTGGACAGAGTGGGCAGCAGGAAGAACATCTGGGGCTGAACAAGCATCAGGAGTCATTGAGCTACAGTGGCTTTCAGGAGTGAGAAGGCCTCAGGGAGGTTCGTAACTCCAATGGCTGGGTAGAAGGTGCGAGAGCAGCCCAATTAATCAATAAGTTAAGCTAATGCATAAATGTCCTAA